CTCGTTTTTTCCACGAGGCTCTATCTAGCTCATTAGGGGCGAAACGGGTGGGGGGGGGGGGGGCGGCCGGAGCGTACCTACATATGTAGAAAACGCAGCGCAGAGCAGTGAGTCTGATACATACATACAGCATCTTATGAACAACCCAGTCCAAACTCCAAAGCAATTATTGACGCCTTTCATAAGGCTGGGCAAGGGTGACCGTCCAAGGAGTTCAACGTCATTTGATTTGAACAGGCCCGATGGCCGATGATGAGCGTGATAGCATCACGTAGGTCGTAGGTCGGCGTTACAACTTACATGACACCATGACAGTTTTCAAATCTATCCCCAACTACAACTACTGTACTTGCGGATAAGGTATGTGACTGTCGGGACTCGGACTGGATGCCGTTTCCCCTCCGAGGCCGTGTAGGCAACAGGCTACCGACAAGAATAGTTTATATAGTGGATAGACATCCGGCCGACTGAACGTGGGACTGAATATGGGCCGAGTTGACGGAATTGAGACTGAGCTGTTATAAGTTCCCCAGTGGCTGTGAGCAGATCGGCAGGGCCGGCGGTAAAGTCCGACCCGCCATCCGGTCCAGATGGCCGCAGGATTCAGGAAACGCTGCTGCGTCACGTCTCCCAATACGCACTGCCGCGTCACCGCCCGTGTCGCACAAAGGCGTCGGCGTCTCCGACTCTCGGCTGCCGCGGCGACAGCGACGCGACGCTTCCCGTCCGTCTCGCGACGATCACCGCCCACGCTATAACTATTGGAAGGAGAGAGAGAGAGAGAGAGAGAGAGAGAGAGAGAGAGAGAGAGAGAGAGAGAGAGAGAGAGAGAGAGAGAGAGAGAGAGAGGGAGGGAGAGAGGGAGAGAGATGGGCGTTGAATGGAAAGAATGGGACCAAAAGTCGGCAGTGCCCCCCCCCCCCCCCCCTTAATTGAAAGTGTTCCGCCGCTACTGCAAGTGGCTAGCTAAACGTAATGCCATGTCATAATACGGTAACAGCAGAATCTCCACAAGACCCGGAGCATACAGATCGGAGGAAGCATAAGCGTGTCGCCATTCACACACATACACACATGGGTTCGACGGTTTCCTACACGGGTTTCGTCCAGGAAACGTCCGAGGAAGGTCCAGCCAGGAAAACACGAGCTGACGGTGGTGGGATCTCGGTCAGAGGCGGCTCGAGGAGCCACCCACCGCAGGCGGCAGAGTGGCCACGGTGCGCCGGCGCACCGTGCTCCTCTGTATGACAAACACCTCTCAATACTTAGGTAGGGGAGAGTGGGGCAAAGCGGCCACCCGGGGCAAAGCGGCCATCCATCGTTTTAGCCCTCCACAGCTGGCGTCAGTTCCAATTTATGATTTCCAATTATACTTCTCTTTGCGGTCGTTCGAATGAGCCAGACCGGGGTTTCAGGCCCATCGCCATTGTTCTGTGAAACACGGAAAAGCATTTCTTGCCAGGTTACCAATTATGTCTACAATTTTTAAATGTTATTTTATTCCATAACCGTTTGTAATTTTTATAAGCGTTTTTGTCCATGCATTGCGTGGTTATCGTACATGCCTTCTACCAATTTTAATGCTTTTTACCCCACTAATAGCTGAGCTGGAATATTTTTGTCTCGGACGGTATGCGCGGGGCAAAGCGGCCGGGGCAAAGTGGCCAGCCCCCAATTGGCCATAAGTTGTTTCCATCTGGATAAAAACATTATTTATATTCAAATGTGTCGTCATGCATTCATCTTGGCCACTTTTCGGTTACATGAGTTACCAAATTATGCAATTAAATGTTTTTCCAAGAAAATTCTTTCTTTGTTTAGCAATAGATGGGAAGATAACAAAGTAAACATCCATCTTCCCTTAAACCTTGTCACCATCAAATACCCTAGTCGTGCATGAGGCAACTATTCTGTTTCTCATATCGGGACTTGAGAAGTCGCCAGTGGCCGCTTTGCCTCAGGGATGGGGCAAAGTGGCCAATATGCTATAGGTTTAAAGTTTTGTCAATATCTCCCATATGTGAACGCCTTTGGAAATGAAACGCAGTTGGAATAAAAGACAATTTAATAGGGATCACATTGGTATAGAAAGAATCTTTCCAAGTTTAAAAATCAAGCGTCGGCATCGTTAGAAACGTTAGGGTGGCCGCTTTGCCCCACTCTCCCCTACACTTAAATGCTCTCGGTGTGACAACATCCTTTTGTGCATACTGCACGGTGCACACCTCTGCAATCACAAAATCCGCAGGCATTCCGTTTTCATCCCTTTTGTCACAGTTTATTTCGCGACCCCACATTTGTCGTTTCATCAGGTTCGGGCTCCATGGTGACAGCTCATTTTGATAAACATTGCCGCTATGTCGATGCCCCCGACAGGCATCTGTTTTCATAAATATCCGGGAATTATGAAACGGTTCTGCTGGCCGGAGTTTTTAAATGTCTTTGATCTTGACCTTGTAGGTAAGGTAGATGCTGGAAAGACCCCTGACTTTGCGAAATGAGCCGGGCACGGAGCAACATCGAGCAAGTCAAAAGCTTTTTATTTAAAGATAATGTTCTATAGAAACATTTGATTTTAATAAAGTTCAAAATGTCAACAAGGTCCTGATCCCTATTTGATCGTGACCTGACCCGAAGCAAAATCAGCTGATCCGTCGGTGTCTGACGAATGCCTCATTTTCATTTCCTGAATGCCTCGACGAGAATATAGCTGTCGTTTCATTTGTAAACAGACAGACTGCGTGTGTGACGTGTATGTCTGGGCGCTGGGTGTGTGCTGTTCCGGCGAACAATGTGTACTCACCAGTGTGTCGGTGAGCGCCTGCTCCAGGGCGTCCAGCCGGCCGCGGTGTCTGAGCAGCTGGTGGCGCAGCTCCGCCGTCTGCTGCAGGTGGAACACCTCCAGCGCCGCCAGCGCCAGGCACAGCAGCACGCAGACGGCCGGCCACCAGCCGCCGGCGGCGCTCCTCCCCTCCGCCGCCATCTCGCCACCGTATCACCTCCGGACGGCCCTGGACCGGCAGCGCGACTGGCGCGGCCGAGCGGCGGTCGGTGACATCACCGCGCGGCCCAGCCGGCCGACCGGCCGGTCATCACCCCTCCCCCGCCCCCACCTCTCCCCAGGCCATCCACCCTCCCCACCACTCAGCCCATCCATCATCGGACGACCCCACTGCGGTCGCATGCCCTGACGGTCTAATCCTCATCCTATGAGCGCCTACTGGTCGGGCAAATAAAGCGAAAAGTACCGGTTATTTCTTACTTTATCCTATTTCTTACATCAACTCTATGGCTACCTGTCTATGCCGAAACTCATAAAGAAACATTTTAAAGTAAACGTTAAAGTGACATCAATACCATACAATGTCAACTAACATACTGCCTAGCCCTAGCCAGTAGCCATAGTTCCTATTTAATATTGGTAAACGGTATTATTGGTATTATTGGTATTTTATCCTATTTATTATTGATAAATTTATTATTGGTAAAAGCTAGATGTGTAAATGCTAGATGTTACATGCTATACATACCGTCTCATTCGATCCATTTCACTTCGATGCAGTTTCCATGCATCGCCAGTGCGCACCGATCTTCCTTTCTCTCCGCTGGATACAACATTTTCTTGAAAGGGTCGTTATTTTCCAGCACAGAACTGCATCTGTAAACGTCTCAATAAACGGCTTCACACCTAAATAATTAGATATAGTACATGCGTGTAGCTATTAGCCGTTTTCACGACGGGCTACCTGGTGAATGCACCTAATTTGACCAAATTAGCACCAAATTGCACCTAATCTGCAACAAATTTGTACCTACCAGATGGCCGTCGTGACAACGGCTATTGTGTAGTTATACGAGCGCTTTAATTGTTTTAAGCTACATCTCCACGTTTTCTTGGCATGAATGACCAAGCGAACATTTAATTAATTTTTCTTCCGATTAATGTTTGTTTTACCAGAAGAACAAGGATCAACAAAGGTCATCAAAGGTCAAGAGTCTGAATGTCAAACGGGCTTAAGTGAAATGCGTATGGTGCCTATCCAATTTTCAAGTCTTGGGTCAACAGGTTCTAGTTTATATAAACAACCCACAGAAAGGGTAGGTGCGTGATATACATTACATAGACACAGAGTAACGGTTTTGTGCCATCGCGTTTGGAGTGTCAAGCCGAGTCGATTGATATGCTTTCTGTTTAGGTAAGAACCGCCTCAGGTCAAGGTCAGGTCATAGAGTGATGGGGTAAAAAGGCTAGATGATTGAGAGCATGTTACACATCAATCGATTCGGCACCTCATTCTGAATTCAGTGGGGGCCTTCTCCGACTCCGTCTTCCTCTATCTAAGGCCACGGGGAGGACCATAATGAAAGATCACGTGACCGATCTGACCTCAGGTGGACCTTATAAAAGTCCATGATCAACAAATTTGAAAGGACTCGGGGGCTTGCTTCTTCCTGCAAGCTCCATCTTCCTAGTGGCTGGAAAAGACTCCCCGACATAAGTGTTGCGATGTAGTGGCATTTTCATGACCTGACCTGAAAATGCGGCTGGTAGGTACGTAAACATCTATATAAAGTAAAAGGCTATTCACCCAAATTTCCAGTCCACTATCTGTAACACGCTCCGAGCAGTTGCGGAAACCCGTCAGGGGTATTATCACCCCATCCTTCGGTCGGGGATTTGTAGTTTGCGTTGCGACTTTCGCAGGTTTTGCCTATTTGGGGCGTAATAAAAACAAGGCCTTATAGGCATTGAAAAAGTAACCTTGGTATAAATTAAGCGAGATATGGGCTTTATGGGTGATATACGAGTTAAAACATACGGGATAATACAGCGCATGTAATCACTATGGCAGTGCGTTGGGCTGCGAGTTTGAGCCGCGCTCAGCGGTCGACGGCGCTCAACCGGCTCGGGCTGGCGGCGGGCGACGGGCCGCCAGGTACGGCGTCAAGGTGAGAGTTTGAGCCGGGCACGCCGGCGGACAGGTAAGGGGCGCGGCTGGGGGGTGAGGAGCGGGCCGGCCAGGCGGGAGCGACGGACAACGAGGGGTGGCGTACGTTGGAGTGCCGGGGCGTCGCTGCTTGGGCGAATCTTACAGACACCGCCTGCACACAAACTGGGGGTGAGTTGGACTGAAACGGAAGCGTGTGTTGCCTAACTGATAGTCCTACATATGGTTATAACTTATATTACATAAGTTAAAACTAATAATATTCACAATGAGCTAAGCTGCAATGTTTTGTAACGCAGGTGCACTGCTGACTGCATGAAGAAGCTTTACGCCCCGTTATGTTTTGACTTTTGTTCATGCTTCATTGCAATTGCATGCTAAACAATAGGTAATCATGCTAATGTGTAGAAATAAGACACGCTTATATTTCTATGTATAAGTATACTTTGATTTGTAAGAAATGAATTGCGCCTCTTTTGCCCGAATAAAGCGCAGTTAATTCGCGCATTGAACTATACCATTACCCAGTACCCTACCCACCCACCTAATGGAGAGGCTGCGAACCTGACCTGACCTAGGTATCTTGAAAAAACTTGACCTGACCGAGGGTCCCACGATATACAGAATCTGAGATATAAGCTAAATACATCATGTCATCAAATCAACCACTGTAAGTTAAAAAGCCAAAGTGTGGTCGGTGCTGTTAAACCGGTAACCTCTGAGGTCAGGCCAACGCCCGACGGTAGAGGGTTGGTTTTTCGTGAACAACTTTGCCAAAGACGGTTGCAGCGCTGCGATTTTGGCACCACGGTGTCCCGTCATGCTGAGATGCGTCGAGCAACATAGTTTTTGTTTGGGAAAGGTCAATTTAAGGTGTTGACCTCAGGCATGAGGTAGCTGATGCAAGGTCACAGTCGCCCCGATTACGACGCTCGTCGAAGGAGGTCATGTCGCTTATTATTCGATTTGACCTCAGTCACGGGCCGGCATATCTCACGTTATGCAAGGTCAACAATACAAAGGTTAGGCATCGGTCTTTGCATGGATTGTAGGAAATCACAATTCTATGCGCTTGAGATAGCCAGCGCCAAAATGACAGTTTGTATGTTTCCCCATTGACATACATAATGGTTAGATCACGTAACCCCCCTGACCTCTTGCGATTTTTATGAAAAACCCGAGATATACAAGTTGTGAGGGCTTGGGAGCTGTTACTGTGCCCCATAAGTTCCATCTCATCTCCCCTGGCACTGACTAAGTGACTAGTGCCAGACGCCAGTGACTCAGCGCCACTGAGGGCGTAGGTATACGGTATGCCAGCTTTCAGCTCCTTATCTCCAAAATGTTCCGATCAATCGCGAATAACTCGTCAAGGGCACGGTCGTAATGACATAACTCGATGACATTTTGACGAGCTGTTCTTCCGCCGCAGGAAGTGACTGCCGGTCGTCATGTCAGCGCCTCGCGACTTCCGGCCGATCCAGGGCTACCCGGATCAGGAGTGGAACGCCAACATCCGCTCAGAGTACGGGCGCAACTTCATCTTCCTCGGCTGCGCCATCGTCCTGCTGGTGGTGTTCGTCGGACTCATGATGGTTCTCATCAAGTACTTCGCGAATCTGTTCAGGTGAGAGGGTCTCCAATTATTAATCGATATAGTAGCGATTATCAATGCTCAATAGTCCATACGGCATACAAGACTATGCCCCTAAGCAATTCTTGAAACTTCAGTGAATTCAGTTTTACCCCTCTCTACTACGCTCTCTACTGCATACGCGCTACTCTTGGTAGCTCTTACCGACTACCGAACTGTCATACCACTCCGACGATCTAAGTTGTTCAGTCCAGGCTACGGACAATGGGCCATGATTGTAATCCAACGGCCAACGGGACTTGGCCCCATGATTCGCCTGATTGGCTTTCGAAACCTGCGCACCCGCTAGTTTCCGCAGTCGAAGGCTACTTGCCACCACTGACGTAATGTTTTCTGTTCTGCCACCAACCAGGGTCGAGAGAGCGCCTACACACCCGCCCAGCCTATCCACCAAGCGTCCAAACCCAGTGCGCATGGTGTGGAGCACGCTGTGGGACCAGCCGCTGCCGCCCGGCAACTTCCGATCGCAGGCCGGCTTCTACTCGCCCAGCACGCGCCGACTGGACTCGGAGCACGCCTCGCTCTACATGGGCGAGATGTGAACCGACCTCGATCTACATGGGCGAGATGTGAACCGGCCTCGCTCTGCATGGACGAGATGTAAACCGGCCTCGATCTACATGGGCGAGATGTGAACCGGCGTCGATCTACATGGGCGAGATGTGAATCGGCCTCGCTCTACATGGGCGAGATGTGAACCGGCCTCGCTCTACATGGGCGAGATGTGAGCTGACTTCGCTACAAATGGGCGAGATGTGAACCGGCCTCGCTCTACATGGGCGAGATGTGAGCTGACTTCGCTACAAATGGGCGAGATGTGAACCGGCCTCGCTCTACATGGGCGAGATGTGAACCGGCCTCGCTCTCCATTCCGAAAGGGTGACGAGGGAGTGTGTCGCGATCAACTTATGCGAGGGGATGCTAAACTGCTAAAGTGCTTGTCTGCTTGGACAGGATCAGATTGTTCCCTGATCTGCATGATTGACCTATGAGTGTGAAAACGTTACGTACGCGACGCATTGTTACTATCCAGTATCACGTATAGTTATGTTATCATGCACTTTTATCGAAACCACATGTTAGCGCTTCACCCATCCTAATGCACTGCAACCATTGCCCAATTAGCTCATTTGTTATCCACATTGCATAAGTGAATATCGCTGACCTCTGTGGTGGGAATGCTTTGTTTTATATTTTTATACACCGGCAGATCCGGTCCGGTGAGCATCCAAGGTCATGATTTCCCATGGTAGAAAACCCGTGTCTTCCCCTTATATAACATTAACGACGCCCAGGTGTTTCGTCACTGGCGTTCTTCCCCTTCTCGCACAACTTTTGCTGTCGTTCAACATCCGAGTTGAGATCAGCAACGAGTTGTCACCTCTTACAAACGCACAATGGATCTGCCCGCATGTTTTCCATGTAATCTCATGTTAGCATTATTTTGTAAAACAAAGAATCCGTCCAAGCTGAACGGCGGCATAGATAAATAAGGAAAGCATAGCCGTAAGTTAGACACTGAAACGCATGGTTGGCTGTGAATTGCTGAACGCAAATTTGTTGATGACTCGAACGTTTGACCATTTAGAGACCTCGATGATCTGCGCTCAGACTCGTTGACCTGTGCGGCAAGCGGGCGTGTTTTACTATTGTGCGGCTCGTGTCTGCCCGTAACAAGCCGCAATTGGTGGCCTGAGAGGATGAACCTACCGATCTTCTGTTATGACCTTTGAACCTTTACCGAGGCATTGTGGTAGCCCAGAGTTCTCATTCGTGTACATTACAGATGTTCTTGACCAAACGACGAATGTCAATAAATATACAGCCAATCAATTTGTAGTCAAGTGGAAGAAAGTCAGGTGTCATAAATTCAAGCAAGAGATGGTTAAAACCGTCTTTTATTACAAAGCACAATCCATATTTACACTGTACACACAATATGAAAAACAGCGATCGATAAGGTGAATTACAACAATGGTGACAGGCAGATGACGCAAATGGCTCGCTGGAAACTCACTCAACCTGAGTAGCATCGCGGCAGTACAGCTGCGCAGCGCCCACTATTGTCTTTGCACCCAACTGCCGCCCATTGACATGTCCTGATACCGGCGATGCGGCCGGCATGGATCCCCGGACGGCGGAGGCGACTGCCCGCGTCGGCTCGGCGCTCACTGCGAGTCGCTGCTGCTGCTGCTCGAGCTGTCCGTGGACATCACCTCCACGTCCGCGGCGGCGGCCGGCTTCTCCAGCGGCACGCTGGCGCCGCCCTGCACGCCCAGGTGGATCTCGCCCGACGGCTGCCACTGGAACTGGCCGCCCGCCGACGCCGGCGGAGGGGGCGGCGGAGGCGGCGGCGGGGGCGGCGGCGGCAGCTGGTTGGACTGCTGCTGCATCGGCGGCGGTGGCGGCGGCGGAGGCGGCGGCGCCGGCTCCTGGGCGCCGCGTGCCGCCACCGACTGCTGCTGCTGCTCCAGCAGAGGCTGCAGCAGCTGCTGGCCTCCGATCGGCAGGTCCACCAGCCGACCCATCAGGCCGCGGCGCATCTCCATATCTGAGCCACAGACGGCGAGACGTTACAGACATACAGTCAGGCATCCTGCATATATTGTATTAAATGAGTTAGATATTACACACTAGGCCCTAGACGGTATCGAAGCTTTACTAGCGGGCCGACTGTGTACGGGTGCGTGCCACCCCAGCGCGACTCACCGGTAGGATATGGTCGCCGTGGGTCGCCCTGCTGCCACGACAGCGGAGCGCTCACGGCGTTGGTCGAACTGATCCGGTGCGCATATCGGATCAGATCGTCGGCGTTCACAGGCCCATTCTCCGCCCTGGCTATAGACTCGAGCTTCTGCTTGGCCTGGTAGATAGCGTTGGCCTGAGAACACATGAATTTTCATTAACACTTTGTAACATCACAGATTTACCAGTTATTGTTGGCAGTGGAAAAGTTATTCATTCAAGGTTCCAACAAATGCAGTTTTGCTCATTTTCCTTGAACCGAAAATATTACAGCGTCAATATTGAGATGCTTGCGATGCTTAACCCTCGCATGCGTGCGGCGTTTGCCAGCTTTTAATGTGTAGGGGGGGGGGGGGGTCGGTTGGACCCCCCCCTTGCCGTTTGGCCCCTGATCGAGCTAGAGCTTCGCGGAAAAAACGAGCGTGTTGCCCGTGACGAGAGGAAGCCGATGATACCCAATTTTAAGGTCCTAGGTCATTGGTTGACCTTCCAGGTCAGGTCAATGACCCAAAGTCGGGAAAATCGGGACCTGTTAGAAAGTCGTAAAGTGTGGCTGCTAAGGGGTTTTTCGGGGTGCTGATCACGAATATCGTGTTAGTTTTGATCACAGATGATGTCTTGAAGCATTTAGACCAGGTCGGGTCAGGTCAGGTCAGGTCAACCAGTAGGCGTCGTGACGGGTATTCGTAGTACGTGTCAACCGACTCTGACAGCTTCGTAACATGTTACGAAGTCACCAAAACTACTTCGTAAATGTTCAAATGGTTGCTAAATTCGAATTCAGCTCCAAAAACTAGCCTAGAAACATGTAAAACTCGAAAAAGTGAACCGAGGTCACCCGAGGTCACCAAAGGTCAATGACCTGACCTGACCCTCAGGTGACCTTGACACACACGGGAGTAACATCAAATCACATGTTTGAACGTTTGAAACCACGAAAAGCTTGCAAACACGCGGCTAGTGCGAGCCGACATACGCGAAATCGCGATTCCGGCCAAACATGGTCTCGGAAAAGAGGTCACAGGTCAAAGGTCATTTGGGTCAGGGTCATGAAATTTTCAGGGTAGGTGTAAAATTGATCAATGCGAGGGTACTGAAAGTTTCGTCGCGATCGGCCGCTTTTTACGCGAGTTATTCGCGAAAAACCATGGGGGGGGGTCCATCCGACCCCCCCCCCCTACACATGCGAGGGTTAACCCGCGCCGTGCTGGGGGGAGGGGGCGTGAAAACGTCCCCCTCAAGTTTTTGGCGAATATCTGAAAACTGGCGGAGCTACGCGCCGCCGTTTTCGACACATCTATTTATGCATCTTTGCTGCGCATTTTGTGAAAATTTCAGACCCGGGTCGTTCAAGGTCAGGTCACCAGGTCACATCAAGAGACCTTACCTCAAAAAGCTCCAATGCTCGCTATAGCTACACCGACTGAACGATCGCTTTGAAACTTCCAGCGATTGATAACATTAACAGTGTGCATGAAATGTTTATCTCGGAATTTCGATAGCTGTGACCTAAGGTCATGTCAATTTTGCGACTTCTCCATTATAAGTCAATGGGGGAAAATTGAAATGCGCCTCTTTTGGACGAACGGCGTTCTAAACGCCCTCAAACATCAGTTTGTGTGTGAACATGACACCATGAATCGGAAACTTACACCCGTGACCCTTCTTTGTGCCCCTCATCTAAGGTCACGAAAGGTCCCCAGCAGTTTTTTACCATGACTTTTGGTAGAGACATGCTACTTGCTACAGCGGTAAAAAACATCAAATGTGGTCAGCTCGACGATACCGATCGACTGATCAAAAACATGACCTTTAACGGTCCAGTCATGACCTTGACCTAAGGTCAACTTTTCAAAATGACCTTTCAATCAAGGGTCAAATTATAGTTCATTCGGCGCGTCTCGAAGAAAGGAACACGGTGCTGGCAAAAGCAATGTCGTGACTCTCTTGAGTCAAAGGTTATTACAGAAAAAAATCGTAGAAACGGCTATTTTTAGTTTTTGCCCTCTGGAGGCTAAGCCGTTGACCTGAGGTCAAATATCAGGCGATGGCAGCAAAAGAGCGTTGAAGGAGCTATCGAATGCGCTTTGCGCGGCGCTGTAGCTTTATTGGTTCCCGAGTTAGGCGCCGGGTTTTCGAAAATAGTTGAAATCGGCAAAATTTAACCTTTGATGAGCTTTGGCGACCTGACATTAAAATGAACGAGGCGTTCTCTTAATTATTTTTGAAGATCTCTCGAATGCCGCTTACCGCGTTTCGCTACGTGGCCCAGGTGCTGAGTTACACGGGGGAGGCGTGAAAACGCCCCTGCCCCCCCCCCCCTCCAGCACGAAACAGAAAACTGACACCACCAGCAAGGCGCTGGTTAAATGATTGAAGTGTCAGTAGCGAACAAAACACAGACAAATTACCAATCTCATTTCTGCGTCCTTGAGGTTCTTCTGCAAGGCCCTGAGCTCAATGTCTTGCTGTTCGACTTCTGCCTTTAGGAGGTCCATTTTCACCTGGATCTCTTGTTGCTCTTCTGCCTCCTGAAAATACCGAATGGTCGTGGTCGTGGGCAAAAGCAGACAAGCTAAACGTGTGCAAATTTATTCCTTTAAATTTTCATCAGATCGAACGTCTAAATGGCCGGATTGACAGAGTCGGAGGCGGAGCCCACAATAACCAGAGCTTACTGCGTAGGGCCGACGCCTTCCCTTTGTTCGCGCGATCCCGGGCAAACGAGATAATTTAAATGTCAAAGCTTTGCGTGCCCATCAAACCCAGATATGACCTGTTCAACTAAACTGGCTTCCACTGGTTGCGACTACTCCCACCAACCACAGATCATGCTTGTCAAGAGTCTCATATATCTAGCTCTGTAGCGATTCGAAAACCGGGCTCTCACAGCTGTGAGTCCAATGCTTTACCAACTGAGCAACGGGACAGGTTGTCGCGTAGCCATTTTACTTAAACCATCGTCCAGATGGGGGAGGGACGTTTTCGATTTCAATCCATACCCTGTTCTACTACATCTCTAAACATAGCCCTTTGGTGTACAGAGGTTCTTGTTCCATCTATGTATACCAAGCATCATCTGCAATGTGTCTATGTACAACTGAAACCTAGGGTCACATTTTTTAAACCCATACTCAATAAGCCAACTTCATCACAATGAAAATCATTCTACTCACTAGTCGCAGCCCTCTAGCTACTGTCTAAGAGAATGTTCCTATCTGTAAGGATCTTGCTTAGACATATGAAATCTGGGAGCAGGCACCTACCTTCATTGCTGCTTTCAGATCAGCATCCTTTTTGATGAGTAGTTCTGTCAGCAGTTGATGCTCAGAACTCGATAGCTTTTGATGTTTGGGAGCAGTGCAGTTGTCAAGCATTTCCCTGAAAGGCAAATAAGGAGGAACTTTTGTCACATATTCATCTTTGCACTTGCCTTTTAAAAGCAAAAGTGCCAATTAAAACAAATTTGATGAAAAGGGCACATTAATGAGCAGTACCATCAGTACCAAAATCACAAGGCCTAGGTCAGTGGGTGTTTATTGCCAATTCCCAATCATTAATTATAATCTGGCACTGCCTTTGAATACAGCCTTTCATTATGAAATCATCAACTCACCTTGATATTAGTTCAATATCATCAATCAGTCCAAGGATCTTCTCTCTAGTGCTGATGCCAGAATGAGCCATTCCTTATGCTTGATACAAAATAATGGATAAATTAATTACTCAATTATATTTGTTTGTGTTCTGTAAAGTAACAAAAGGTCAGAAGGCAGCACTGCTAAAAAAAAATCAGGTAAAATAGAAGCAGAAATAGCAAAACATCAGCTAGCCTGACCTACCCTTACCTAACATAACATAAGCTTACCTGAGCTTACCCTACCTGAGCTTACCTGAGCTAACCTGACCAAGTATGTGGTTCAGTGTAACTTATGTTTTCTGTAAAATGTATCCAAAGCATTAATGTGTGGTCTCACTTTTCAGCCTTACAACTTACAAGGATGTTTTTTTCTTTTCATGCTTTTTTAAGGGTGCAAAAGGAGAGAAGCACTCAGAAAGCATCTTATCAATAATATGAATAGCATGTTTCAGCAAGATAATCTACATGAAATTGAAGTTGGGCATCAAATATGTACCTAAGCATTCACGCAACATAATAAATAAAATAAAATGGTTTCATTCAAAATCATTTGACAGGACTTTGCATTACAGCATGCAGCTACCCACAACTACCTGGTTAGCATATTATTTCACTTGTGTGTTCATGGATGTCAAGCATCATGGTACCTGATATAATTTGATTTTTTAATGCCTGTCAAAACCATACAAGTGCACCAATAATTCTAAATATGGCATGAGATGAACCATAGAAATGAATAGGAATCAAAGAAATGAAATTGAGTGCAGGTTATATCAAGCTGGCCAGTGTTAAAGGCACTGAGTAGGTACCAAATCCAAATCACGTTCACTTTCCACAAAGATCAGTCTCACTAGAGACACCTCCACTTCACCCTGCCCCAACGGGCCCTACCATATGGAAAGTACCTACCTAACAGTTAACACTGTCACTCACAAACTGGACTGGAGTGGATACTACAGGCCTTTGGGCTTAAGCCTCTCGCATAAAACCTTAGGTCGTAAGCCATCAAACAGGACGCAGTAGAATTATCAACAGGGCACGTTTTCACACTTCAAACTTAATGATTCAATTAATTAAATTACATTGAATTGAATGCATTAACTGTACATATATTAGAAATAGAAGAGGCTGGTGCACACCTTTAATTTATAAATCGAATGGCCTCTTCCAGGCCTTGGCCTCTAATGTAGTTAGCCACTAACGGCAAAAAAAACTCAATTTGAATGCCACAAGATGAAGATATTTATTTTAGACCTCGGGATGATTTTAAAATTAAAAAACAAAAATTAACAATAATAATTAATTAAAAAACTCAAACGAGTCACTCAACGCGCCACCATCACGCAACACCGCGCTATAAATGGCAACCAAAACGAGCGATCAAGGATGACGAAAATAAGCACAACACTAACTATACTACTGCCAACCTCACAGCTTCACTCGCAGCCATGCCGAACATAAAACCACCGGGCACCGACACATTGGAAAATAAGAAGACGTTAATTGGAGCGTGGAATACAATTTTAAGATCTATTTTGAATATGTTGACATCAGTTCTTTAATTTTTGGTGACCTTGCGACCTCAATGCTCTATAATAGCCATAATACAGCAAGCACCAGGCGAACTGGACAACACTACTCGGCTTGGTCGCCACCTTTGTAGGCATTCTACAACTCTATAGCCTTGCTACAACTTAGGAACCATTGGGCTGATCGAGACAAAAAAGAATATTCCAATCCGAATCACGGTAGGCCCAAGGTAGGCCACTCCAAGGCCCTAAATGGCCACTCCACCAGCAGTGACAAATATGGCGACCTTGGTGACCGGCTTGACGATTTTGCGGTCAGCCATCCAGTAACTCAGGAACCACTGCAGGTTGATCGAAACGAAAACACCACAAGCCGGCTCGCCGCATGTCATTGCATCAGCTATTTCAATTATAATGCCATCAGGTGACCCATGGTGAGCATGGGACGTCACTTGACACTTCATTGGAGCGTTTTCGCCTATAATATGACAGCCTAAAGTTCTCAGTTCAGGAACTACAACGGGTCGATCGAGACGAAAACGCCGCCCGACGATTCGCCATATGGGAACTCATCAGCCGTCTTCAATATTGTGACCTTAGGTGACCTCGATGACCTAGGTCAGCTTGACGGTTCCGCTTGATATGGCTGCAATCCTATAAATCGGCACTACTGAGAATAAGGTGACCTGAGGTCACTCTTATATTCATACCAACTGATGAAATCACACACACGGAGAATCAATTGGTGGCGTTTTCGTGACGATCGGCCAAGTACAGGGTGGACCAAAAAGGATGGAAACATTTTGAACTCGCATAAAACATGCATTATTGTATGCATGTAACTGGAAATGGTACCAAACGAGAGTACATTTCGTAGAAATTCATAACGGCATCACTCTCATCTGCTTTCTCTCGTTTTCAGTCTCTCACAGCAAATGTTCGAAGAGACTACTTTCGCGAGACAGGCACAGAGCGGCCGGTCTGGTGGCTGACGCGATAGCCCGACGACACATGTTCGCTGGTATGGCTCACACAGTCTTGGTGATCGCTCTCTTCAGGTCACAGAGACCTTCCTTGTAGACCTGGCCCTTGAGATGAGATGATAGAAAAGTCACTGCACAGCAGCAAGGTCACCGAAATGGTGTGCTCTCAGCGGAAAATGAACCGTGTGTCCACTTTGGTTCGAGGAAGGGAGCGGCGACACCGTGACCGTCAATCAACAGCGCATACCAGGCGGCGCTGAGGAAGTTCTGAGAGCGAGTCCGAACGAAGCATGGCAGCCTCATCATACACCTTATGTGGTTCCAGCAAGACCTCACAGCCTCCTCACATCGCAAAAACAACGCTCAAGTGCATCAAAAACCACTTCGGTGATCGGCTGATATCCCGCGGTGCCAGTCGGAACTGGCCTACCTGCTCATCCGACCTGACCCCTATGGATGTTTTACTGTGGGGTCATCTCAAGGGCCAGGTCTACAAGGAAGGTCCAGAAAGCCTCTGAACTGAAGAGAGCGATCAGCAAGGCTGTGTGAGCCATACAAGCGGGCTATCGTGTCAGCCGCCAGGCTGGTCGCTCTGTGCCTGTCTCGCGAAGGTGGTCGATTTCGAACATCTGCTGTGAGAGACTGAAAACGAGAGAAAGCATATGAGAGTGATGCCATTATGAATTTCCACGAAATGTACTCTTGTTTGGTATCATTCCCAGCCACGTGCATGCAATGATACATGTTTTATACGAGTTTAAAATGTTTCCATCCTTTTTGGTCCACCCTGTTCCGGTCTCCGGAACCATATGATAGCTACTGTGAGCGAAATCGCCGAGCCGAACTTTTAAGCTCACCGCCGAGGTCACCTGAGGGCAGGTCACCACATTCAAAACGGTTCATGATATAGGCAGCTAGCGGCGAATCGGCTGGGGATGTTTTAATTTCGATCGGTAAGTTGAGTTCTTGCCCTACAGGATGGCTGCCGAGCACCTCGAGCTTGGAGGAGGGACGAGAAGCTTAGGGGTTGGATAATACCGGATTAGTAGAGCGTAGCTCAGAAACAGGGCCCTCGGTTGCAAAACCCCATCCGTCTACCCAAAATTAAAAATTATCGCATGGGTCTTTGCTTGTCAGTTGTCGAAATAAGCTCTTCCGGTCTGAAAAGACATTGCAGAGCTCATGGTAGAATAATTGTGGAGGCTGGAGCCAATACCATTCGGACCACCGACGCGGACGGTGCGCCGCAGCGGCATGGACAGAGTCTCGGTGGGACAGGGGTGTCCCGTTGGGATAACGTGCTGTGCCGCTCAAACGGTCACCCTGGAAAAGGTGTAGTCGAATGAGCAATTGCCCTTACCACCGGTTGCCTGCAGTGGGGGGTCCGGGGTGACCGCCACCCCAGATCGGGAAGCGTAAGAGGGACGGATGCGGGATGGGGCGTTTATGCAATTGCATAAGCTGGGCCTCCTTTTCTACCGCGCAATTGAGGGTCAGTTTGGGGTGATATCACCCCAACGACCTCTTGACATATGTCAAGAGGTCGTACGCCATGGAACGGCGGTCCAATAGCAGTTATAGTGTCAAGTGCCCAATTTTCAACTCTCTCTTTTTTCCTACAAGAAGCCGGCTCCCTCCCTCTCCCCCCCCCCTCCACCTGCCTATATCCCTTTCTCCCTCACTGTTCAAGAAAAACCCAATCACTCAGCCCCGGGTACGTAGTTGTGTAGCCCCCATGCAGTTTTTCGCTTTCACCCCTTAGTGCACGTGCATCCAACAGCAGTCACCCCGTACCTCTAGATCCGAGCCTCACCGTGTAGCCGGAGGGCAGCGTTCAAGGCCGCACCCAGTCAGCGTCTTCGCGCCGTGGCGTCAGTTGACGCGACGCATACGTGAGTGGTCAGTTCGTGGCTGGTCGGTTTCCGCTCGTACTCTCTTCACTCGTCCGTACACATTTCTCAAGGAGCAGCTTCTAGAAGAGGTGAGTTTTGCGGACGGGTCCAGCTGGGGTCGGTGGTGCCGCCGGATCGGGCCGTCCGCCAGCGGTAAAGTGGCTGCGATACGGCGGGCAGCGCCGAGGCGGTGGCTGGCCCGCGGCGGCCACGGCCCCGGCGGCCGCGCGGCCTCTCTCCCGTCTCCAGCTGCGGCTACCGACCTGGGGACAGAATGATGGCCGTGTGTTATGTCTCATTATGACTGTGTGTTTTATCGTGCAACTCAAACTCTAATGTTTTTGTTGTCGTTATAACAGGATAATGCAAACCTGAGCTTTCCCCAGATTCTGTGATCTCTCGCCACCACATTTCACCTGCGTAGTAGCTGGGGAGTGCACCGCCCTGTTACTCGTGTATCTTCAATGTATTACAGCGGCCGGCCAAGTGCGCAGCCAAATAGGAGAGACCCGTGACGCTCGAGACCACGGACGCGCTAGCGCCAGTATGGAAATGTATTGTAATGCCTTGGGACGTCATTCGTTTGTAATATTTGCTTGTGAGCGCCGTATGTCGGCCGAGAAGGGCACAGGGTAGTTAGTATTCCTATTTCACTGTTACCAGCTGACCTGAGAGGGCCTCCCAATTCCCAAAAGGGCATGTCGTTGCGCCGGTGCGAGAGGCCCCTCGCCGGTGACAGGGATGACGCCGCCGTCGCCTGATGACTGAGAGGGCCTGAATATTACAGCACCCAAGCCAGATCGAAACGGCCCTTTTGCGACCCACGGTGGCGCAACTCAACCGAAAGTTGTTCAAACTCCAAGCTGATACGAGAGGGACCGAAGACAGACATTCATTCAGAGGGAACCGATATCGGTCTGTCGTGATCGCACCCCTGGTTTATGAAACGAGTCGGAAGTGGTGACGGTATTGTCCATTGTTCAATAGTCCAAATGGCTAATCCAATAATCAATAGGGTCTTGTTTCATTAGAAAACAGATGACAAACATTATCAATAGAGAAAGTTTGAACGCAGTTCGCAAGCCTTTTTTAGGAGAGTAACTTTGTCCTTCGGAAAAGTTACTTTCGTTTACGAGACATGATGACAACATCGTCTTCAAATTTTTGCTACCGATAGCGTTCAATTATTACCCACCTGCCACTTCGGAATTTCATTTATCACAAGCTGGGAACTGGAGAGTTACTTGGGTCCTTGACTAACCGGGCTTTCAGAGGCCTGCTTGGGACCCCTCAAAGGCTGACGAGAAGCTCTCAAAGACGGTCTTGGGACCTGGGGGCCCACTGGCGGATCCAGGCTTGCGTTTTGGGGGGGGGGGGGCAACTCATGCAGGAGCCAAACCTAGGGTACCCCCAAATCCTGTTTTCTCATCGGATTTAGGCCACTTATTTTTCGTCACAGCCCTGACACTATGAATTTTTTTTTTAACTAAAAAGAAAAATATATAAATGGTAGTCCACCCGACCCATGCCTTAATATTACTTTGTAAACACTTACCATTGTTTTTATCGACCAGTTAAAGGGACCCTCCCACCTTAACATTAGATTTGAGTTGAGATAGCCAAAATGGGGTCCCTGGCTGATGGCTCACAATTACCGGTTTCGGCACGCACTCACAACATCGAGAAATGCCTTAAATCGGAAATATTGAATTTCAAAATTGCAGCATTTTGATTCAGAGGGGCTAATGCTTTTGGATACCCCTCTGAATGTGTGACGTCAGCGGAGATCTAATGATTTTTTAATATTTTACTAAAACGTTTGGTAGCTCATGCGGTGGTATAGGCTGCTTTGCGCGCAACAAATGCCGCACTTTCAAATAAAGTCGCTAGGAACAGCAGCGGATATCCCAAAAAGTAAACAAAAATAAAAGTCTAATCTCTTGAAAACCGGTGAATATTTTTCGATAAAATTTGGTAGATATTCGTTTTCGCCCTTTCTGAACCTATAGCGACATCACTTTCATGCCAATTCATTAACTTTTTTGAAGGTGGGAGGGTCTCTTTAACCCGCTTCGAGTCAGTGCTTGGGTCCCTTTGCGGGCCGGGAGGTGGTAAAACAGCCCTGTCTAACTCGGCTCCTGGGCCACGCCCTGATTGAACTATGTTTCATTATCGTTTGGGGGAGGGGGAAAACGGGCCACTTTAGGCCTCTGGGAAGGGGGCATGGCCCTAAATGCCCCCTCCCTGGATCCGCCAGTGTAAGAAGAGACCATTGGAGCTGCAGTTGGGTACCTCAGACATCAGGGTACGCCCTCAGATGTATGTATAGGACTCGCATGGAGACCTCTTATGCTATAGTGTACTGAAATGACCCAAAGGAGCCTGTCTATATGGGCTCCCGGAGATAGACGTGGGCCCTCAGGAGCCCGCCAGAGCCCCAATGAGGGATAAGTGAGGGATACCAAGTGCCTGCAATTGCATATTGCATAAGCCATAACGCCTTTACAAATCAATATATTATGCATCAGTGGCAGATCCAAGGGGGGCCACATGGGTCATGACCCCCTTGGTGCCCGGGGGCACCACAGGCCTGTCAGGGGCACCACCGGCCTAGTAGGGGCACCACCAGCCCGTCAGGGGCACCACAGGCCTAGCAAGGGCACCACGGGCCTGTGAGGGGCCCCACAGGCTTGTCAGGGGCACCCCAGGTCTGTCAGGGACACCAGAGACCTGCCAGGGGCGCCGCCGGCCTCGCAGGGGCACCATGGGCCTGTCAGGGACACCAGAGGCCTAGCAGGGGTACCACAGGCCTTACAGGGGCACCACCGGCCTTGCAGGGGCACCTTGGGCCTGTCAGGGGCACCACAGTCCTGTCATGGCCCAGGGGCACCAGCGGCCTAGCAGGGGCACCACAGGCCTGCCAGGGGCACCACCGGTATAGCAGGGGCACCATGGGCCTGTCAGGGGCCCCACCGGCCTCGCAGGGGGCACCACCGGTCTCGCAGGCATCACGGCATCACGCAGGGGCACCTTGGGCCTGTCGGGGGCATCACGGGCCTGTTGGGGGCACTTTAGGCTTGTCAGGGGCACCACAGTCCTGTCAGGTCCCAGGGGCATCAGCAGCCTAGCAGGGGCACCCTAGGCCCGCCAGAGGTACAGCCCACCGCTAAAGTAATGTAGGGTTTTACCAAACTCAACGGTTGGCTTTGACTGGCGATTGTTTAATGCGAAGTGATTGAAAAGAAGATGTCAATAGCTAAAGTTGCAGCTGCAAGGGTGACGATACATATAAGCTACATTCAAAGTTTCATTGTTGTCTGGCTAATCGTTCCTAAGCTTCAGAAGCAGAACATACCCATGACTGAAACCCCACATTACTTCTGCTGTGGACTGTACCACAGGCCTGCCAGGGTCCAGGGGCACCACAGGCCTAGCAAGGGCACCACGGGCCTGTCAGGGGCACCTCAGGCTCCCGTGCCCCCCCCCCCTCCCCCTCCAGATCCGCCAGTGATGCCACACCACGCGAAACACCGCCAACTACCAGCTGCCGCGCCATAAACACGTGCCAACAACAGTCTTTTTTTTTTAAAGGGACCATCCCACCTTAACATTAGTTTTGAGTTGAGATAGCCAAGTTTGCGGCCAGGCTCAGAAACCACCATTTATCCTGGTCGCAACCCCCGCAGCTTTATGGTGTTCAAGAAATTTCTTCCCTTTACTTGCAGGGTGGGACCAGCTTAGTCCCTATCTCTTAACCATTAGCGGTTTCTTGATGACGTCAGCAGTCATTTCAACGCCCGCCATTCCTTGAACCCGAGTTTTGCTGACCTTGAGCTCCCTTTGTTATCAACGTGAAATCCGTCGTCGGCGCTGAGAAAGCCTATTGCTTTTCATTTTAATTTGAATATTAGAAGATACCCACCACTGGAACTTGGACTGATATTATACCAAGGCCGAAGATGATCAAGCTGCCTGCTATATCTGGAGCTTGGTGTTCAACTTCAACATGGAATAAAAAACAAAATATCAAAGCAAACTGGATATGGTACTCCAAGTTAAAGTCCAAAGAAATTTTGAAGAGCTGACAATTGACATTAATTCTTTTCCTGCAAGGTTTCCATATGGAGATCACACCATGAAGAAATATTTTTGATGTTAACAGTTGAAAGGGGATTGATCATCCAGTTTTGACGAAAGACGCTGCTGACTGTCTTTGGTAAAAAGGATGTCGCCATGAGGTGCAATTGTGCTTGTGAAGTGGTTATAACTGGTCTTTTCACAGTATTAAATTAAATGTGCCATTGCAGCCAAGTGTGTTATCATGTAAGGTAAAATCAAAACCACAATGTTGGTTTTACGAGCATTGAGAAGGCTGGTAGGTAACACCTGCCTGTGCTCGTAAATCATGCTGCCAAAGTTTTCTAAATTAATTTTATCATACACTTTTGTTATCCAGAATGGTTGCACTATTGTTTGGTATCATATTATTCCATGTAAATATGGTAGTGTAAAGTCCGACCAACATGTTACCAGATTTGAAGCTGTTACGTTACCTAAGTACCTGTTTTTTACTGGCGTGGTGAATGTCACCTGGATTTTGTTTTGAGGTGCAGACCTAGTAACTCTGACTACATGGGTTTGAAGCTATTATCTATTCTGTTTTTACTGGCCTGGTGAATGGCGACTGATGTTGTCCGTGGATGGCACTGAAACAAATTTTGAGTGTCATGTACAGTGTTTTAATACAATGCTGAGGGCTGAAAGTTGTCTTGTTTAGAGTGGTGAAAGTTCAGGATATGCCAGCCACCATGGTGGGTCAGAGTTAATGTGTTGCAGTCAGTTCGGTTTCGGCAAGCACACGGATGGGCATACACATCAAGACCTGCTCTGCCATACTTTCAGCCAATTTTACCTAGGTAAGTCTTTTCTTTTTTTCTGCCAAAAGGTATGACATTGTGAATTTCAGTACTGTGGCCTGTGTGTAGCTTTCAGGAAAGCATTTCTAAATACAGCTCTGATAAAGTGCAAAATCAGCAATGCAGCCCTCTATTACATTTTCTACAACATCTTACTTGTTCCTTGCATGGAGAGAAAAATGCAATGTTATGAATTCGTTTATTCACATAATTTGACAAGCATGCAGTTACCTGCTACTATCACTGCACAAAACAGCAGAAAACATCAGTTGATCAAACACAAGACACAACAGAAGTTTACAACATATAGGGCTGCCGAACCTGCTTCCTCCCACCACAGTTGATGCCAT